TACTTGGTGCTGCTCGCCCCTACCTACCCTGATGGTCTTGATGTCAAATCCCCAGATTGATGTAAAAATATTTCACAGGCAGAGGAAACCAGGCCCTGAAGGCCCCCTGCTTAGTAGCTAATCAGTAGGTTGCTGTGGGCAACTGGCACCTGGGGAAGGGCAGGGACACTCTGGAGCCTAGCACAGTGGTCCCTGGGCAGCCCACTGGAAGGCATTTCAGGATGTCAGCAGCCAACAGGTTGTGGCTGGAGTGTGTTGGCCTGATAGGTACTGGGTCCTGTCACCTCTGAGCAGCAGTGGGCTCTGGCTGCCCTGTGAGCTCGGGCCTGGAGGCCTGTGTGGTTCTCAGTGCTGGAGTTTCTGGAGGGCCATGACATCATGACATGGCTAATCATGTTACAGCCCACGTGAAGTATGAAATGGAGCCAGCTCAGTCCCAGGCTGCTGCTTCTGCCCCCTCCTCTGGTGGGCCTGCGCCGGCACCATGAACCTGCCCCGGGGCTCTCTGCAGAAGAATTCATCAATGATTCAGGAAATCAATGGGTCCAGAAAGTCACTAGTCTCCCAGGAGGCTGAGATGGAAAGGTGAGCAAAGCAACAGAACCCTGGCCAGCCCACCCCTCTGCCACCCTCTGCTGAGGGGGCTCAGGGTCCAGGATGGAAAGAGGATCAGCCTCCCTCTCACCAGGATCCGGAAGAGCCTGCTACTCCAGGGCAGGGCCTAGTTCCGCACCAGGATTCATCCCTCCCTCTGTGGGCTCCCTCAGCCCCACCCCACTGCACTAGTCGTTTCCATCAGGCCAGGTGAAGGTCAAAGCTCGACACACCGGCCAGCCCCATCAGCCACATGCTGGCTGGCCTCTAGTCACTGGACAGACACTCCATGTCCCATCTCCCGCCACCCCCGATACTTCACTGATGCCTCATTGTCCTGACCCGGGAGTTGACTGGGGTCCCTGTTCAAGGCAGAGAGCTCTGGTTAACGAGGGAAATACAAGTTGGGCTTCAGTGCACATCTGTCTAGCCTCAGTGTGGAGTCCAGACTCAGGAGCTGGGCAGCCAAAGGCCTGCAGCTTATCAACCCGCCTCACCTCTGCAGCGTCACCTTCTATAAGCGAGCTGTGACCCATCCTGCCAGCGGCCACCTTCCCCTGCACCTTGCCTAGGCTAAGCCAGATTCACTTCTCCCAGAATCCTACGCATCTTTGTTGAATAACCCATCATTCACGCTAGACTAGGCTGCATGTCCTCTAAGTTCCCAGCCCTAGCGCATCTCTCTGCCCTCTGGGGGTTCATACCTGTGGTTGTTACATAATCTGTTGTCAACTTGAAATTATTAAGAGTGAATGGGGTGGAGTTTAGCTTGTCAATCAGGTCACTGCTTGATGACCTCGTTGGGAGGTGCTAAGGAGATAAATAGCTTGCTGGAGGCGGAAGACGCACACTCTCCCTGCAAGATATTCCTGTTGACAAGACACGTGGAGCTACGCTAGAGCCCTGGAGCTGGAGAAGCCACATGGAGACACCTGTCAGTGCTGAGATGTTTCCATTGCTACTGGATCCACAAGACTTTCTTCCCACTGGCCTGTGATCTTTCTGCACTTGGTGTCATTGCATGTGTTGCATGAGTCTGAAGAGGACTTTATAGATGGGTATTGGACATATGGGCTAATATCAGATTTATGGATTTGATCTGGACTGGGCTGGGATGGTTTCTTATTGTACAATTACTCTTTGATATAAAGTTCTCTCTTACACATATGAGTGTCTATGAATTTGTTCCTCTAGTCTACCCAGACTAGCACACGACCCATGGCTGGGGGTGGGAGGACAGTGAGAGGGATGGGGCAACTCAACATTGCTGGGACCTTCTCCAGCTTCTACTCTATGGAAGCTGCATAACCAGTCTGTGGGAGAGGTAGGAGGTCAATATGACAGTGAAGGAAATGGAGATTCAGAAAAGGTTGGTGACTTGCCCAAGGAGACACAGCTAGTCACTGGCAGAACTGGATTTGGCCCCAGGCCTGTCTCTCAAACCGGTGAGGTTCATGTTCTTTCCACACACCATACCGTGTCCTCCAAAAGGAAAAAGCAAGGGGGGCGGGGAGGGAATGGGAGAGGGCAAGACAGGAAGAGGAGGAAGGAATGAGGCAGAAAAACAGTATGGACCATAAGGGGATGCTCTGAGAGGGGTCTAATGGCAACAGCAGCACCCGGTGCCAGGGGGCCTCCTCGCCCACATCTGGGGGCTGGGCTTTCCTCCTCCTGCAGGGAGCCCGCCTGCCCCGTCCTTGGAGGCATGGCTGGCAGCTACCTTCGCTGTCCACTTCTGGGAGCAGCTTGCGCAGCGGCCTCTTCACCTCCCAGGTGCTGCTGATGAAGGAGGGCATCACCTGGAGCAGCTCGTCCCTGTCCTCCTCCCGGATCACAGGGATGGTCTCCAGGATGAGCTGCATCTGCTCCAGCTCGTGAGCCCCTGGGGAGACAGATGGGGCGGTCACGGTGCTGCCGAGCGAGGGCTGGCTGGGTACACATCCCCACAGCAGCACCCCATGGCCTGGGAGGGGCCACTTGCCGGGCACACTGGCCTGGGCAGAGGGGACCCACCTGAGGGTCTCCACCCTGTCACCCTGTTGCTACCTTGCCATGTGACTGCGAGGCAGGAGAGGTGGATCAGGCCATTCTGGAGGCTTCTCCCCCAACAGTCTGGGACTGTGGCTGATGGGCCAGCCTGAGGAAGACAGAGTCAGCCACAGCTGAAGGGCCAGGGACAGACCAAATTCAAACTCTCTGCCATCGAGAACTCCGATGAACAGAGAGCCTGCAGGACAGAGTCCCTGTGAGTTTGCAGGACTTTATGGGAGTAGAAAGCCTCGCCTTTCTTTCACAAGGACCAGGGACAGGTCTGGCCCAGAGTTTTCCGAGGGTGTGTGCCTCTGCCTCTGTGCCCACCCTGTAACAGGCCAGGGTAGGGAGCGATGTTAAGGCTGGGAACGAGCTTCGTCCTTTAGTCTCCATGAGATTTGGAAGCCTCGCAAGAGAAAGACAGTTAGGAGGAACAGGTTTAGTTGCAATGTGCCTTGGTCAACGGAGGTGACAACCCAGCAGAGACAGCTGCTTTGCTCCTTGGGGCACAGGGAGAGGCCAGGTCAGGCCAGGCCTGGAGGAGAAGGATCAAGGACACACACACACACACACACACACACACACTCTCTCTCTCTCTCTCTCTCTCTCTCTCTCTCTCTCTCTCTCTCTCTCTCTCTCTCTCTCTCCTTCCCTCCCTTCCTCTCCCTCATTCATTCAACAGCTATTTATCTACTGAACATTCTCTCCAAGCTGAGCCTCCTGCTGGATGCTGGGAAGCCATAAGACCTAGGTCTCACCCTTGAGACATTCGAACCTGTACGTATCTCAGCAACTCATCTCATCCTACCTTCCGCCCCCAGGCAGCCACAAGCCACTTCTCAGTCACAGTTTCCGCAATGCTGGTGCTGGCCAGCCCGCCCCTTCTGGTCTTCCTCGGACCTCGGGCCATTCTGACTTGCAGTTTCTCTCTCTCTTTGCTTGAGTAGCTTATCCGCTTCCCTCCCCCAGGTCAGACCCTCAACCAATTCTCTCCTTTCTCAGGCAGCCTCCTGGCTCCCCCCACAGTACCTTGGCCTTAGCACAGACTCACATGGGGTTCCAGTCTATATGGAGCTGGTGGCCCAGGATGGGGACGCCATCCTTCCCATCTCCCATGCCCTGACCCCCAAAACCCTGCACTGCACTGCGCATGTGCAGATGCCATAAGTGCTATGGAATCGGGTTCTTCCCCCAAGATGTCACCCGGACTGTGCTCCGAGGGGGGCTCTGGGAAGGTCAGTCCAGGGACTCTGGGAGCCCTCTGTGGGACAGCCTCTCTAAGTGAACCATCCAGACTCCCCACCAAGGAGAAGTGGGTCCGTGGGCTTCAGCCGCAGGGACACTCCTCACGGAGCCGCCTGTGGGCGAGGGAGGTGGGCAGCCCTCAGGTCAGGGCAGTATGCAGGTTAGACAAGTCAGTCACCACATAGCCCAGAGGGATGCGGGAAACCGGGCAGAGGGGAGGCTGGGACATGGGGCCAGAATCCTCCATGTTGGGCCCGATGAGGACACTGGTGGGTGTGGGCACCATGGGGACGGGCGAGGCGGGGACAAGGAGAGGCCATCTGGCTGGCATGTGTCACAGAGAATGGCTGGTCTATGAATAGCACTGTGGTGACGGTGAGCGTGGAGGACGTGGGCTTACAGCCTCTGCAGACTCCGCCTGAGGCGGAGGGAGCAGGAGAGGAGCATGGAGTGGGGCATGGAGCTGAGGGAGGCCCGAGGGGGGCGGGGGGCAGGTGGCAAGCAGGAGTGGGGGTGGAGGGAGCTGGTGCTGAGCAACCAGGACCAGTGGAGGTGAGAAACCATTGAAGGAGATGGACCTGGAGGCCAGGAGCAGGGTGTAAGCCCAGGGACTGAGAAGGAGGGGCTGATTCTCACTGACCAGAGACCCTAGACGGGGACCACCACAGG